GAAAAGGTGGTAATTACTTAATTCTAAGAATTCAAGTTAAAACCATTTAAAAATGTCTTTGATATTAGATGGAAATAAGAGAGAGAATATTCTGTCCACTTGAATGAGTGAGAGAGAACAGAACTTTCAAAACTGATGATTTGGTCAATGATGTATCTCAATAATTATATACAGGCCTCAATGACAAATCACTAACCTCAAAATGTGGTATTAAATATAAACAATAACAATTACATTATCATCTGATTCAATCTTTTTTTTTAAAGAACAGCAGCCAAAATAATTGGTACAGGAACAGGGAGATTATAATTCAGAAGATAAATTTTAAAAAAGCAATTTTAGCCCTGGCTGGTTTGGCTCAGCGGTAGAGTGTTGGCCTATGTGTCATAGGTTCATTCCGGCCAGGGACATGCACCTCAGTTGCGGTTCGTCCCCGGCCCTGGTTGGGGTCGTGTGGGAGGCAACCAGTGAATGTGTCCCTCTCATGTCGATGTTTCTCTCTCTCCTTCCCTTCCTCCCTCCACGCTGTCTGAAAATAAATGAAATAATATCTCAGGTGAGGATTAAAAAAAAGAAAAGGCAATTTCACAAGCAAAAACTAAAAAGTATTTCTATTTATAATTAAAAATTACAGGTTTGCTTATTCATAAATATTCTATTTTTCTAGTAATCATAATAGTTGAGCTTTAAAATGACAGATTTATGGATATTGAAAGGCAGTGATCATTACTATAAATTACAATCTCAAAGCTACAGATTCTAGAAGAATACTTATTTACCCAGTGAGATTAGTGTGGGTGGCAGAACAGCAAAGTTATTTTTGTGCTTTGCCCACTTACTAGATGCATGACCCTGGGCAAGTTACTTAACTTCTCCTAACTTCGGTTTACTCATCAGTAAAATCAGGATAATAAAGTATCAAACCCAGGGATTTGGGAGTTTAAATGAAAAAAATATATGTAAGAACACTCAATAATTTTTTTAAAAAGTATTACCTAAAATACTATAGAGAAATAAGTATTTTAAACAATCAGATACCTTCAGCAATTGTATTCCAAGCCATTAAGAAGAAGAAGAAGAGAAAAAAAAAAAGAAGAAGAAGAAGAAAAAAAGGCGGGGAGCAGGGAATGTGTTTACCTAAATTCCTATAATGATGTTACAAATCTTATTCAGAAGATGAACAATTTAAAGGAATTCACTTTAACCTTATTCTAATTAGTAAAGCACAAAGGAATCAGGAGCTTTTATAGCAATAGTATATTGGTATGGAACCCTTTTTAAAAATTTTCCCTGGCTTAAAGGTCACATACATTTATAATATGAGAACAAGTTGGAACACTGAGCCAAAGAACGAAGCAACACTAATACACACAAAAGATTAAACACAGGCCTTACTGGTTTTAATTAACTGGATAAGACACTTTGCTAAAAATAGCATACGTCTCTTTAATCTTAACATATATCCTCCAGGAGAAATAAATTAAATCTAAAACTTCAAAAGTAGATTCAGTCAGGATCCCAAAGAAGCTCACTTAATTTTATTTTGGTATCTTATCTGAAAGAAATCTGTTTAACTCAGTGAACTGTGATTGGCTTATTCCACTATTATATACCTCCACCTCCCACCATCCTATGTGTTTATTATATACCTAGAAGTAGAAATTTAATTGCCTGGAGCGAATCACCATTATATTCCATATAAATTTATGAGACAGAAAATGTATAGTTTAAACAGAGTAATTATAAAGAGAGACGGGGAAATCTTCAAGTATTTGAAAGTGATGTCAACAAATAATTCATCCTCCCAGCTAAGTTACAAGGAGAGAGATTTTAATGTAATATAAAAATAATTAATTTACCCAGAATTGAAATAGGCTTATAACCTTTCGGGAGGATACTATAACAGACTAAAAGAACATGAGAAATTCCTGCATCTTTTAATTCAGTAAACATTAGACATTTATTCCAAGAAAATGATTGGAGATGTGCTGAAAGATAATAAAAGAATGATGGCACAGTTTGTAACAGCAGAAAATCCTGAAAGCAACCTAGACATGATTTAGCTATGAATAGTGTTCAATTAATAATTTAAGACAATGAGAAAATGCTCAGGGTAATATGTACATGTGTGTGATGCCAATTCTGTCATCCTAAAAAAATATTTACACGTGTAAAGATAATTGGAAAAGTAATTATAAAAGTAATTGGAAGAAAGTACATCATAATATATCAGTTGATCATTTCTACCTGTAGTAGTATTGCAGGTGTTTTTTGTTCCAAATTTTAATTCATGAGCACATATTACTTTAATCAGATGTTGAATAATCATCTATCAGGAATATTTTTGAAAGAAATTGCTATTCTTGAATAGTGAAATGAGCTATATGACTTTCAATGTCCCCTTTACAACTGGAGGAAAACTTTCTACAACTAAATTTAAGTCAGTGAGCCTCTGTCAAGAACAGAATATCTAAAGTTTTCAAAGGACTGACAGCCAAGAATAATATTAATTTCTAAGGGAACATCAGTGTCCTCTGGCTAACAGCTCTTTTCATAGATAGAAAATGGGTAGTGAACCTAAATGAGCTGGGACAAACAAAACAAATAGAGTATATAATGAATCTGCTATTGCCAAAAGAAGCAGCAGGAGGAAGAAGAAGGAATGAAGTCTCTTCCTTATTTTTACCAAAAAGGCCACTGCCTTGATGATGATATAATCTGTGATTAATGTAGTGTAGTAATTAATGGCTACAATCATAAAAGTTACCTAACATTTTCATATCTGGTAGGATTATAAACTGAAGGGCAAGGTGGGGATGGGAGTGGTGTGGCATTAAGAAAGTTTCTGTTTCTTTAAAAAGACTATCTGATTTTATCAATTTGATTAACACCAGAAATAAAGTGACTTTTAGTAGGTAAACTATAATCTGAATTTTGATCTAAGAAAAGAAAGTAAAACATGAAAAACAGAGCTAATTACAAACCACTGGCTCAGCTTCACAACAATATTAATTATTATCACCATGCATTTCACATAGTGTCCGTTTTAAGTCAAATAAAACAGTTTCATGAAATAATTATGATAATATCATAGATTAGAAATCTATAATTCAAAATCAAGGGAAAAAAATTCCCCTTGTGATAACTAAAGGTAATCTTGTTACAAAGAACAAACCATAGAATGTCATACACTTTTTACCAGAGATAAGAATGTGTAATAGAAAATATATAATAGAGCCCTGGCCGGTTTGGCTCAACGGTTAGAGCGTCCACCTGCAGTCCGGAGAGGCCCGGGTTGGGTTCCCGCTGGGGGCGTGTACCTCGGTTGCAGTTTGTCCCCGGCCCTGGTTGGTCGTGCAGGTGGCAGCCACTCGATGTGTCCCTTTCACATCGATGTTTCCCTCTCTCTCTTTTCCTCTCTCTCCCTCCCACTCTGTCTGTACAAAAAATGGAAAGGTGTCCTCGGATGAGGATTAAAAAAAAAAAAAAAGAAAATATATAATAGAATATGATAATAAACATTTGGATGAAAATACACTCCTATAACTGCAAACAAAAAGAAAATAATTAAGCATGGCCAGTGTGGCTCAGTGGTTGAGCATCTACCCATGCACCAAGAGGTCACAGGTTCAATTCCCAGTCAGGGCACATGCCCAGGTTGTGGGTCCAATCCCCAGTGGAGAGCATGCAGGAGGCAGCCAACTGATGTTCTCTCTCATTGATGTTTCTATCTCTCTCTCCCACTTCCTTCCTCTCTAATATCAATAAAAAAAATAATAATAATAATTAAAATACTAAAGTGTAAATTACTCAAATTATTCAGAGAAATCAGTAAGACATTTCTATTTCATAGTATTTTATTTATATATTTATTTATATGCATATAAATATATAAGTAAATATATATATATTTATTCATACATATGTGTATGTATACATATACCATACCAGCTTTCTTGCTAGTTATATGACACATTAAAGATGTTAAAATGAAATATTTATGATAGTTTTCCTATATTTAGAATATAATGAGACATGAAAAATAATGTACGGTTGTACAGAAATATCAAGAGAACACAACTTACAGAACTTGGTCAAAATACACAGTTCTCCTTTTTGTTTTAAATAAATAAATGATAGAAAAAAAAACCCACAAAAATCCTAAAGACTATGATTTCCCTACCAGTTATCATAAATAAATAAAAATCTCTTCCCCAAATTTAAACTCATATTTATTAACAAAAAAAAAGGAAAAAAGGAGAAAAAGAAACTGTTCTTTTAGTATCAAACATTTACCCTTTTTTGTATAGGATTTATTACATCAGAAAAACATGGCAGAAACTAGCACCTGAAAAGAACTCATGGCTTTCTATTTGTATATGAAAAAATACACATTCAAAAAAATTAAAATAAACAATATGCTATAAACAGTTCTAATATGATCCAAGAAGGTACTATGCATATGCAGCATAACTGCATAAAACATGTTTTTTCCTATTTATTATTATCTAATCCAGAAACCATTTTTGAGGCAATTTTACTTGACCACCACCCATTTCCTTTTGTGGCAAATGATTCAATACCCAGTATCTGCACCCATTTTTTTTTTAATGTTGGAGAATTTAAGACACACTACCCTGATGAATGCATAAAAACATCAAATAAATCAGTATTTCTTTAACTATAGTATCTAAAAATTAATAGCCAAATTCTACAAAAAATGCAAAACCCACAAAAAACGACCTTAAATATCTCCCTTTAATAATGGTATCTGAAAAATAAGTATGTTCAAGAAAACACTAATTCACATATATTCTGACAAGAAATAGCAATATACAATATTTTAAACATTTTGAAAAGACAGCACCTTCTTCTGCGTGTTGCAAAAGACTCTAGGATCTGCAATCATGCTGCAGTCTTGAATAAATATATTACTCTGAAGTTCTAAGTATATGTGGCCATATCGAGGGCACATCAGATTTGAAATGGATTTACATTACCTCCAACTTTAGGGCCACCTGCTGAACCAGGCTTCCTTGCACTGTTGACAGGATTTCCGGATGTTTTAGGTGCAGGAACCTTGAAGGCTGAAGAAGCTGATGATGGCCTATTTCCATCCACTGATTCTTCATCATCAAAGCTTTTATCTGTACAAAGCATTAAGAAAATGTGTCTTTAAGAGAACTAAGCTTTGCTCCATTTTCCATTAGACAAAAATCAAATAAAACTATATATAAAACCATAACGTTGTGAGATATATAATACAAAATAAAGCTCCTTTGAATAAGCATTTATATATTGGCTAACACTATATAAAATAACCGAGTGTAATTTAAAATCAGATTGCAATATTATTATATTTACTACTTATATCTATAAAGTCAAAACATAAAACCAAATATATTAACTCTAAAGATAAAAAAAGCATTTTTCCTTTTTTTTGCTACTAATATAAGCATTTTCTGCCAGCTCCTCCCACAGTGCATCTTCCAGCACACCCTGCCTTATTCCTTATACCCATATTCTGCAACTTACAATCACAGATCCGTTTGCAAATCAGTCGCCTCATTCCTCTGAAAGCTCTTAATTTTCCTCACCCTAGGATGCTCCCCAATGGTTCACATGGCCACATACAGTATATATGATACTAATCAAAGATTCTATCAAAAATAGATAGAAACAACCACAGAACCACCACTGAGGTTTGTGCCGGCATTTTTCTTTCTCTTCCCTGCCCTAGGTACTGTAACAGCCAATCAGCTGCAAGGTGACATCATCTTATGGCAGCTACTGCCAGATGAAAGGTAAAAATTCTCCATGTATTTAAAAAATCTATGCAGCTGCAATCTTTATTTTGTATCAAAATTTCAAAGGCATTCAATACTAAGGTTCATAAACCTAAATTTGTATTCTCTTATTTGGCTCACATGAAAATTTATACAACTAGAAAATAAGATTTTATGCATATCCATTCTGCTTGTGTGCTTATTATTGCATCATTAAAACATGGAATATCACAGTGCTTCTTAATGTGCATAATTAACTCTGTAATCTAACAATTTGCTGTTTATTTAGGTCATAGAAACCAAACCGAACAATTTGTTTTCATAAATGATTCTAAAATATTCTATAAAGCTCCCTTTAGAATATTTATGATCACACTAGTATCATCTCCTAGTATAAAATGAAACACCCCTACATCCACCCTCACCAAGAAAATGTATGCATTTTACTCGTCAGAGAAGTTGGTTTTCTCTAGGACCCTGCACAAGTCAACCACGACAAACAAGATGGGCGAGGCAGAGAGAGGCAGCTTTATCACAGGCTTCAGATCAATACACCAGAATCTTTCTCTTTCAATCTGCTTCCCCCTTAGCTATGCAACTATCCAAATCAAGGAGGAATAGCCATCCCTACAATCTTAAATATATATTTAAAGAAAATGCAACAAACAAGTGTTAAAAGGTTTCATTAGAAACAAGAAAATCAAATAGACACCCTAATATAAAGCCACATTCCATTTCAGCAAGTGTTTTTCTTAAATAGCAAAACTTGTAGGAAAAACGTATCTTCTAGTCAAATGCATAATACTATAAGGGAGTCAGTTTGGATCACTTAAAACCTGTGCTCTATGTAGACTGCTGTATTAAAAACACTAATACAATTCCAAATAAATTTTCTGCCACCACTATGTAAAAAATGTAGCTAAGACAGAGAGTAGATACACAAATCTACAGAAAGATGAGTACTGAAACACTGAGTAGCCAGAAGTTCCCATGGAAACAGTGTTCTGTTCCTACAAACAGAAGAATTGAAGAGAGTAAATGTCTCTACTATTTAAAAAAAAAAATTTAACTCTTAACATTCTCAAACTACTGAGAAATTAGTTGTTAACTTATCAAAATAAGGCTAAGAAAAGTATACAAATCATAATGATGCAGCTCAATGAATTTTCACAAAATGGACATTCCAGTGCAACCAATCTCCAGAAAGAGGTCATTATCAGCATCCTGTGAGCACCACCCTCACTGAACCTCCTAAAGTCACCAGTTCCTACCATAGCAAACTGGCCTTGATTTTTAACACCGTAAGTTTGTTTTGCCCATTTGTGAACTTCATATAAAAGGAATCACACAATAGGTACTCTGGTACCTGGCTTCTTTTCACTCAATGTAATGTTTAGAAGATTCATTTTCATTATAGTTTTCTAGTATATAAATGTTCCACAATTTATTAATATTCATTCTACTGTTGATGAACATTTGAGTTGTTGCCAGTTTGGATTATTATAAAACAGTACTCCCCAAGAGGTAAGCAAGCAAAGTTAAAAGGTTCTAAGGCTTTTCCCCATTATTGCAGAAGTAGTCAACTTCCCTAGATACAGTAATTTATTTAGATTGTAGTAAGTCAAAAATGTGTATTGTAACCACTAGAGCAGTGGTATTCAACATGTAGTCCAGGACCAGCAGCTGAGCATCATCTGGCAATCTGTTAGAAATGCAAATTCTGGGACCCTAACCCAAATCTACTTAATCAGAAACTCTGGAGATAGGGGCCTAGTAATCTGTATTAACAAGGCCTCCTAGTGATTCTGATGCATGATCAAATTTAAAAACTACTGCCCTACAGCAGGAGTTGGCAAACTTAGTCTGTAAAGGCCATGTAACAAATATTTTAGGCTTCACAAACTATATATATATATATATAGAGAGAGTGTGTGTGTCTCTGTGAAAGTACTCAACTATACCACTATAGTGCCAAAGCTGTCATACACAATATGTAAGTAAATAGGTGTGGCTGTATTTCAATAAAATTGTATGTACAAGACAGGAGGGCATCTGGATTTGGTGTGCAAGCAATAATTTGCCAATCCCAGCTCTAGAGCAACCACTAAAATATGAGTAAATGTATAGATAAATTAATTTTAAAAAGCTAAAACAATAAAAAAATAATTGATTAATTGAGAACCAGGAAAGGAGTCAAAAAGAAAGGTAGTTATTGACTTATTTTCCCATTTATCTTCAGATGGAGTGGGGGGGGGGGAGATGTGAGAGAGACACACCAATTGGTTGCCTCCCACTCAACCCTGACCAGGGCTGGGGACCGAATTGCAACCAAGGTACATGCGCCCTTGACCATAATCGAACCCACAACTCTTTGGTCCACGGGCCGACACTCTAACCACTAAGCCAAACCGGCCAGGGCCCAAAACAGTATTTTTAAAATAGGTTGCTTAAATGAAATATACTTTACATGAGGTCACATTAAAATAAAAGTAAAATGAAAGAGACAGACCATGGCAAACACCAACCAAAAGAATGCTGGTATAAGCTATACCTCAAACAAGCAGCTTGAAGAGATAAAAAGAGATATTAGAGATAAAGAAAGACTTTTAATAATGATAAAAGGGTAAATCCAGTACCCTAAATTTTTATGAATCAGTAACACAGCTTCAACTACATAAAGCAAAAAAAACAAAGAACTAAAAAAAGGGGCAAATTTACAACCATAGAGGGCAATATATTTTTACTCACTTCCAATAAAGTTTTATCTTTTTAGATTATAAGCTAAAAAATTTCGTAAAATTACCTCATCACAAGGCCCCCCTTAAAAATAGTTTGTAATTTATTTACGTTATAAATATTCTAGGCTTAAAAACAGTTTTTTATGTCATTATCTTTTAATGTATTAAAATATCAAAATCTGTATTAAATATCAGGTACTTTATTTAAATTATTTTAAAATAATTATTATATAACCTATATACTAAATAAATCTGTTATTTTTTAGGGAGGGTTGAGGCATACACTAAAAAAAATACTCCTTTTTATTAAAAATATTTTCTTTTTTTTTTTTTTTATCCTCACCCGAGAACTTTTTTCCATTTTTTGTTCAGATAGAGCGAGAGGGAGAGAGAGGGAGAGAGAGAGAGAGAGAGAGAGAGAAACATCGATGTGAAGGGACACATCGAGTGGCTGCCACCCGCACGACCAACCAGGGCCAGGGACAAACTGCAACCAAGGTACGTGCCCTTAGCGGGAACCGAACCCGGGTCTCTCTGTACCGCAGGCCGACGCTCCAACCGCTGAGCCAAACCGGCCAGGGCTAAAAATATTTTCTTAATAACTATAAAGTATCAGAACAAATCTGCCATATTTCTTCCTAGTACCTCTCACTTCCTGAAATAAGATACTTTTATGAGTGAACTAGAACATGGTTTGGAAAAGAACAGAACTTTTTCTTGTTTATGCTATAACCCCATTACCTACAACAATCCTGAGATAGCTGTCACAGATAACTCTTCTTCCTCAGAGTTTATTCTCAGCATAATGTGTCCTGAGTTAAACGAAGTCACATCTCATTGTTGCTCTAAATCCTATGACTCCATAAAAGGTCTACCAGGACTCCAAGATCTATGAGAGCTTAGATATCAAGTAGGGCTCTCTAATCTCATCTTCTACTTATTATCCATCTTTCTCTCCAATCCAGCTTCACCAATCTCCTTGCTCTGGCTCATATCAGGGTCTCTACACTTGCTCCCTTTACCTAGAATACCCTTTCCCTCCTTCAAATCTTTACTGACCTATTACTTTCTCAAGAGTTCTTCTCCAGATACTAAAATTGTAAACCTTCCAAAATTCTGACACTACTAGTCTACCCCTATACGGACATCCTTTATTTCTCTCCCTAGCAGTTATCATTTATATATTTTAACTTGTTTTGATTATGATTTCTCTTCTCCCACTGAAATGTACTGTCTATTAGGGTGAGAACCGTTGTCTGTTTTGCCAACTGCCATATCTCCAACATGTGGAACAATGCTCAGAATGGCACACTGCATAGTAGGGAGACTTTTGGTCTCCAGGAAAAACATTAACACAGGTTATTTGAAAAAAAATTCCAAAAGGCAAACAAACTAAAACCAGTTTTAAAATATCTCCTGAAAACAATAAATACCTGACAAAACACTAAGAAATATAAGAATAAACCCGCAATATTTAGACATCTATTCTGAAGGCCTGTGGGGCAAAGGGAATAAATTAAAAAATCATATAAGATGCAAACTCTAACAGGAGAGTCTTCCCACAAAAAGTTAGTATACCAAATGAGTACACAGATGCCCTTGAACAACGTGTGTTTGAATTGC